TGTGTGTGTGTGTGTGTGTGTGTGTGTGTGTGTGTGTGCATACAATTTTAAACGAATAAAAATAATATTGTGTCGATACAATAATCATAAAATAATCATAACATACAAAGTTGCGTATGTAATATTGTTATACCATAGTGGCTGCTGCAGTTATTAAGCCGCATTTGCACGTAATCCACATGGATTAATCGACTGGATTACATTTTTATTTACGTTATTCAGTAGCTACATCAAATAGTCAACCGAAAAAATCCAGACATCACGTTTTTCTATACTCACGTTTTTAATGATAAAGTTTTAAGAGTTATAATATATGCTAAGTTGACGATTAGCCTTGAAATAAAATTATTATTCGAATATTTTGTAATATATAACTTAAACGGCGTACAGCGAAAACATTTAAACGACATTCTAAGATAAGAGCAGGTGTTATAACATTCAATAAAAATTCATAATAATACAATGTGCAATTTAATTTCTAAAAACAATCACGCGCAGACAGAGACCTAAATGCAGTAACTTTGTTTTCAAAAAAATATAAAAATATTACGCCGACGACTTTAGTATAATACAATTTCACTTACAACATATTTCCGCAAGACACTTATTCACACTGAATAGCACCCAATAATAATATTATACAATATAGGCACTTGATATCACCTAATGAGATGCTCAACATAAGAAAAGCATAACGTTACTGGCAAACGAGACTGAATCTGTTACGGAATTAGACGTAATTCGCATCCATCGGGGTGCCAGCTATAGCTGATAATGTATGCTGAACCACCCACCAGATAATATGCTTAACTACCCCCCCGATATGCTCCACATTATTTCCCTGCCCCTCTACTCTATACCACCCCACGGTTTGATGCGCCCCCCCTCTCCGGGACACGCGTATAGTCCGCGGATAACATTCCACTACTGTTTGTATCACTTTTTACCGACGATTCGTCCACTTGTATTACACAAACGCGTGAACTATATTAATCATAATTCATAATATTACCCGACGTATATTATTATTATTTTCAAACGATAATATTTTGCATTGATTTCGTACGCGTTTCAATAACAATACACGAGCCAAACAGTTCGCATCATACCACGTGCATATTATTATTATTATTGTACGGCGGAAAAAAATGTCATTTACGAAAATTCCAAGTCATTATATACATACGCGCTGTGGGTATGTGATGTGATAACACTATTAAGATGTTACGACGACAACAACTGCTCAAGCGTTTCGTATTAATATTTTTTTTTTTGTTTTTACTTTTTACTCGCACACAAACCATAATGAGCGATGAAACGGAACAGTGAGATGTTATAATAATATTATGACAACGAATTTTACTCATCGACAAAAAAATGCATGCCACCACTTCCTGCGAAACGCGTACACGAACTCGTGAACTGCGACCTAAAGTTTGTCCGTCGTAATAACCTAACCTAACCTGACCTGACCTACGTAATTGTTGGTTTTTTTTCCATCGATATTTTATAATAATTAATCAGGTGCGTTACCCCGTGGCACGCCAAGGCCAACATTTCGACTTGAAGATTGTTTGATAATATATTATCATGTTAATTATTATTATGTAACAATTAGTAACCGCAAAACAAAACAAATGTTGTAACCACACTGCACGACGAGGTACCGGAAGACGGTTTTTGTGTTCTGGGTTACCTACAGGGTGTCATCGTTATTTCGGCACCGCCGTCCCTGATTTTTTAAAATGTCGATTGAGATTGTTTGATATTATTATTATAGTTTTATGTCTAAAGACTATTCATCATAATCATTTGGTCGGCGTGCTAAATAGGCAATGTCGGTACACCGGAGTATAGGTTAATAATGATTATATTATTTTTCCGATCAAGCCACGCGGTTGTTTTCGGTGAACGAATATAATAACAATTTCACAATATTCTGTATTTCGATCTGATGACGGTGATTACAACTATGCTGTTTGTCAACATGTGCCTATGCGTAGACCATAGGCCTTATACTAATCGTCGATTTATACTAATCGACGATTATAAGTGACTGGAAACACAGAGGGCGCTTTTCGGCGACTGAGTGACTCTGCGTATGGTAGTGCGAGGTAGTACGGTTATACAATATTAGAGATAATATATAGATTAGGGGTCACCAATTAATGCTTTCGGTGGGCCACATTAAGAATTCGGGAAGTTCTAGAGGGCCATAAAAATGCAGAGTACATAATATTCATTATAATATTCCGATTGGCCCAAACTAATGTGTACGAAGATAAGAAATTATCGGCTTCTTTTCTCCTTGTCTGCGGATTGGTTAAAATTCTCGTCCACGGCCCGCCATTTGGTGATACCTGATATAGATTATCGTATTTTGGGACGGGTACAGATTTCCCGATTTTGATAAGCGAAAAAATTTTGATGATATCTCGATATACCACAACTCGTACCAGAATATACCAGAGATCCAGCAGTGACACCACCAATAAGAAATAATTAAAAGTGATGCCTTGGTAGCGGCACTCGTCGCTACGCTCCTCGGCGCCGTCGCTCCGCTCCGCAAATCGAAAATATCCCTCGACTTTCTATGCAACACCACCTCAAGTTGGTCACTGTGTAACCGATGTTATACCAAAGAACAACCACTCTTATCATTTCGGCCAAAAGCTTATCACTACCGCTATCAAAATCGGGAAATCCGTCCCAGCCCCATCGTATTTTTTCGTCAAGACAAGACAAGAACTGTGTGCAACAACAGCATCACGACCGAGCGGCGTGAAAACATCTGTCAGTGATGTAGGCAGTCTTGAAGACGAAATACAATCATCTATATTGTATTGCATCTACTCATCTCTTAGTACTACCCCGCACCACCCTTCATCGAGTCACTCGGAAAGCGTCGTCCGTGTTTCCCCGCTCAGGGTGCAGTCACTTCTGCCTATTATTGATGAGCCTACATCACTGAGGGATGTTTGCACGCCGTCCGTCGTAATGCAGTTGTTCTGCTGCACAGTTCCTAGTTCTTATCAATTACAGTACCAGGTCTATATGACGCGGACACACTCGGGCGACGGCAAAATAATTAATAGGCTTGCTAAGTTCACTACTTCCGCGGCGTTCACCTATTCTCGTCGAGCTAAAGAATATAGAGTATAAATCGTTTGTAATGACACCAGTTGTAGTGGCGCATAGGATCACATGGCCCGAAGTGTGCGAAGAAATGCATAGGTAAGTCCAATGCATCATGCTAAATTGTATGGGTAGTCATGACTGTCGGTTATACCGACCTATTTTTCTTGGTCCTTCTTGAAAGTAGTTATAAACGATTTCTACTGTAGTTGAAATATACGCGATAACGTGTTACCGATGCGATGATCTGGCACAATAACGACAATAAATTAGTATACGGGCCAACGACGTACGCCATTTTCTGCGTATCTATCACAAAGTCGCTGACATACCTGTTTATTTTGTGAACGACTCACTGTGTGATTAAACATTGCGAACAGCGGCAAATCCATGGATGTCAAATTTTGCTCGAGATAACGGACCGACCGTTTTAATTGTAACACGGTTAAGTCTTCACAATGAAACTGCTGACCTGTTAAACAATATAAATTCGTATAGTTGTTATATACATATATAAGTGGAATATTGCACCGAGGAAAACGAGATTTCCGCGTTGAACGGATTGCAATAAAAATAATTGACCTGATAAGAAGGTAATCCCTATTATGTTGGTTTTTATTATCTATGCCGAGGTAGAATAAGACGTAAAATTATAATAAAGTGTTTTGCCCAGTAAAATAATACTATGAACGGCTATCACTTTTTTTTTACATCGTCACTCGGAAAAGGAATCATAAAATATAATATTATGTCGTGTCGCATACGAAAAACGATACGTACTATCAGTTCCGGATCTAAGTCTCAGAAAGTGGGGGTGCAACTATACTATACTGTAATTGGAAGTCCATAAAAACGGCATATTTATAAAATATAATTTTAAAATTAATTGATGCATCAGTTATGTTGTTTTATTTTTGGTATCTCGTATTTTTCGTTAACATCAATGATTATGCGATAGAACAGTGTTATGAGGGATACAGCCGAATATAATATTATTATTTCTACAAACACACTCATACCACCCATGTGTCACTGGTATCGAAAACGCGTCCGAAATGAGAAAAAAACCGAATGGTTAAATTATTACAATCGTTTGAGCCGGTGTAGGTGGAAAGGTCGACACCATGACGTCGTTATAAACGGTACCTTAGATCGTAAACGTATTATTATTATTCTTTGCTGAGTTAAAATATTTTTGTTTTCACGTCCTTGTCATCGTATTATTGCATTACACCCGTTGGGTCGGTTTTATGATCGAAAACATAATTCACATGTGTGTTTCGAAGGTACTCACGAATGATGTTTCGAGGTGGTGAGAACCGAGGACATGGCGAGGGGGTGGGTTTCAGTAGGAATGAAAAAAATTGTATCGCGAACACAATTTTGTCTCGGCACTTATTCCGCAGATGCGTCTCGACAACACGTGATACATATTACACACAAGGACACTGTGCGTGGATACACTGACTACAGAACACTTTAAAACCATAATACCCAGGGCCAGAGTGTTCATTTACCAGTGTCAAAGCTCGACGAAGTTTTTTAATTATAAACGTTGGAAAAAAATGATATTTTAAGTCATAAAAATTAAAAAAGTTGATAATTTATTCTAGAGATTCTTATATTTTCTTAACAATTTTCCTAATCGCAGAAATGAAATAAAATCTGGTACCATATAATATATTTTTTCAGAATTCCGGTAGCATTGCCGATATGTGGAGGGGGGGGGAGAGAGATGGAAATAATTGCTTCTGCCACTTTTCGGTATTGTCGAATTTTTAAAGTGTTTGACGGGTGCTAATCACCATCATGATAATTGTAATAAAAACAATCACTGACCACACGTTTCTGACGTTACGTTTCAGGTGTGGCTGTTCGGCGATTACCTGTGCTCCGTGTGGCTGGCCGTGGACGTGTGGATGTGCACGGCCAGCATCCTGAACCTGTGCGCCATATCGCTGGACAGGTACCTGGCCGTAACCCGGCCAGTGCAGTACCCGAGCCTGATGACCAGTTTCCGGGCCAAGGTGCTGGTGGTGATCGTGTGGGTGCTGAGCTTCGTCATATGTCTGCCGCCGCTGGTCGGCTGGCGGGACACTCACATACCGGCCGAAGCGTCCACGGTGCTGATCCGGAACGAGCTGTACCGGAACGGCACCGGCAGCCGGCCGCAGCAGGAAGAGCTGCCGCCGTCGTGCCCGTGGATATGCGAGCTGCCCAACAACAAGTGGTACGTCGTGTACTCGGCGCTGGGCTCGTTCTACATACCGATGTTCGTGATGCTGTTCTTCTACTGGCGCATCTACAAGGCGGCCGTGCACACCACCCGTGCCATCAACCAGGGATTCCGGACGATGCGCAGCCGCCGGACGTTTGGCAACCGGTTCGACGAACAGCGACTCACGTTGCGCATTCACCGCGGCCGCGGTTCGTCACTCAAGCACTCGGCCGCCACCGCGTCTCCGTCGTCCGCCGCCGTCATCGCGGCCAACGGCCCGAGCGGTGGGTCGCCGGACGTGAACCGGCCGCCGAACAGCCGGCGGCCGTCGGTCCGGCGCAGCAACCACGAGCGGATCAAGATCAGCGTCAGCTACCCGAGTTCAGACTGCATAAGCGCAGCGGCGGCCGCCGCGGCCGTGGCCACCGTCACCACAACCACCACCTCGGTGGACGCGAACGGCAACTCCCCGCCCGAGACGCTTAGCCAAAAGTCGCGGAGCTCGTTCTCGTCCACGACGTCGCCGACCAGCTCCAGTCCACTGTACGCCGTCCACTACACGGCGGCCGAGACGTACCAACACCAGCGGGCCGCCACGGTCCGGTCGGTGGTCGACACGTCCGCGTGTCAGCTGCGCGTGGCCGGTGGCAGCCGGAAGGAACACCGACGGTGCAGCGCCGGCGACACGGCCTCGCCCCATTCGCGTCTCCTGTTGACGTCGTCACCGGGCGGCGACCATCACCACCATCACCAGCACAGCGGTGGAGGAATAGCGGGCGGGCGACCCGCGTCCTGTTCCGTCGCGTCCGTCAAAGACCAACTGTCGCCGTCGCCGTCGTACGACGAGTCCACTGGTGGCGGCGGCGGTGGCAGTAGTGGCGGGGCGGGCGCGAGCGCGGGTAGCGACGTCGGGCTCGGTCGCGGCGGCCTTGGGTCCTCAAACAGCAAGTCCAAGTTCGCGTCGAAGATGATGGGCGGTGGCAAGCGGAACATCAAGGCCCAGGTGAAGCGGTTCCGGATGGAGACCAAAGCGGCCAAGACGCTGGGCATAATCGTCGGCGGTTTCATCGTGTGCTGGCTACCTTTCTTCACCATGTACCTGGTAAGGGCTTTTTGCCCCACTTGCATACAACCCACCCTGTTCTCCGTCATGTTCTGGTTGGGGTACTGTAACAGCGCCATCAACCCGATGATCTACGCGCTGTTCAGCAAGGACTTCCGGTTCGCGTTCAAGCGGATCATATGTCGGTGGTGCTGTTGGGCGTCCGCCGGCGACTCGACGGCCGGCATCGGCGGAGGACTTACCGTCGCCGACTACGGCCGCCGCAAGGGGTCGGACGGTTCCCAGCTGGGCGCCGGTGGCCACGGCGGCGCGTCGCCCCGGAACAGGTACATCGTGACGGGTTCCGGTGCCGGGGCCGCGGGTTCCGACGAGTGCAGCACGCGCAGCATGCGACTGCTCCAGTATTCGGACAGCGAACCGCTCAACGAACCGTGTTCGGACGACAGGTGATGGCCACTGCGCGAGCGGCCACTCGGCTGCTGTAATGATGTTACTATGAAAATATATTATAATACGCAGGTACGACTCCTGCTCGGTGCGACGATTGTTTTCGCATTATTAATTATTATATAACTATTAAGCGAAATAATATATATTATCTTATACAAATACACTAATATAAGATTATAATTATTATTATTATTCTTATTATTCTTATTATTATTATTATTATTATTATTATTATATACGATAAAATATTATGTGTTTCCGTTACCCACTCATTATTATTATTAATATTATACGCATTGTGTAATTATATATTATTATTATTATTATAATTATGTTTTATCCTTATATAATATTATTATGTGTGTTAACCGTTAAAATATTTTGTATTTTAGTCTCGTTTGTAACGTCTTAAGACCGACGAATATTGCAAACACGAGTTTCTGTTGCTTTGTGCGATTTACCGACCGATCGTCCTTATAATATTATTATTATTCATACGTACAACACAAAAGACATCGATTCACTCCGTTTAAATATAATAATATTAGCACGCATGATAATAGAGTTCGTCGAATTATTTTTAAACATTTTTTATTTCATTTTTCAACGACGAAATTTGCCATAAATAGAGGTATGTCAACGCCCTCGTTTCTAAAAAAAAAAAAAACGGTCTACGAGAGCAGCGCTTTTGAAAGGGTATAATTATGGTGATATATATGTACTCACTGAGAGTGATTCCGAGCACGCTAACCACCCCCTTTTTTTCTTTGATAATGTATGTAGTTAATCAAAATCTGTTATTTTGAATTTTTAAATTTACTAGAGGACCGTCATTTTTGGGGAAAAGGGGAAAGGGCTCCTTTGCCACTGCTTCTCTAAATTATTTACCGGAAGATTTTTCTGAAAACGTTGACGCGTCGAAATGAAAATTCGAACGAGTATAGCGCACGAGTTATTTAACTATTCGTGTTCACCGTAAAGAGGTCAATAGTGATTAATATTTGACAGTGAATAATAATATAATAGTAACAATATGGCCCGAGAATAATAATCAGCACTACACCCAATTTTACTTCAGCTTTTTTATGTTTTCGTAAAACCATTCTTAATATTATGTAAAAAAATTTTAATTTTAACTGAAACACAACTCGTTAGAATTAATGAATTACCCATGGAAATCAGCATTTTCAACAAAAATTATCCACTTAATAATTACATAAAAAATTGTTAGTGGCGCGTTGGCTGCTGCCAGTCGCGGAATGCGACTGGGAGTAAGTAACGGTCACAGCCAATAACTCCCGGATGGGTGACCGCCCGGGTTCATAGTAGTTAAAAACCTTACCACACTTACATGTGTTTGCTACCTACCGTAACAATTGTAAAAAACGACCTACCGTACCAACCTTACCCCTACAACAGCTAATGGCCTTAGTCGCCAGGCTTAAGTTCAATGAAAACAAAAAAAAAATGTTAGGGATAGAAGTTCACTTCAGAAAGACAGACATTTTCACAAGACACGTCTTAACGATATTACGAAAAAATTCTTCAAGAACAATTTGACAAAATGGTTTTCGAGTAATTTATTTAAAAATCCAAAAATCAAAATGTTTCATTGCTAAACGAAAAATGGGAATGACCAATGGTTAATGCTTGGTGAACCATTTAGATGATAACGGATATTCAAAATCGGCACAAACAGCGATAGAGGCCATAATATTTTCGTAGGTCGTTTTATTTATGCCCACTTACACAATTGAATCGAGCTCCGTGTAATTTATCACCTCGCAAGTTCGTACTTCAACTCTTGAAACTCAAAAAAACAAACATAAACAATGCCGCCCTAGATTCGGGCGATATTTTAAAACAAAACACGCATACCTGCATGCTCCGCCGAAGTGGATTGTCGACGGCTGATCATGTAATAATATTCCTAAACAATCCGGTAAATACTATTTTGAACCAGCCAAGACGTAAAATTACGTTTTACTCTAAGTACTTATGGACGCCTACAATAATATCGTTTAACAATATTGATCAAGCACTTTTATAATTGATTTCAAACCAAATCGGTTATCGAATGCATTTTATTTAGCATCATTCGGAATTTACAGACGAAAACAATATATTATTATGCGCTCTTTCACGAATCGAAAAAACGTTTTCAAACAAACCGTACTCGGTGAAATGGGTTTGATTATTTAAACCAGAAGAAAAAAACTCTCCGTTCGGCGATAGGCTTAGAAAAGTAAATCGTATAAAATGATTACTATGGTATGTGCTATTATTTTTGAACAATTAATATTAACACCGTGTGCTAAACATTGAACAAAACACACGATCTGAAAAAAAAAAAATAATCATAATGAGCCAAAGGTTGGTTTTGAATTGAATTCGAAATCCGAATTGATATAAATGGTATAAATAACTACTGTAAATGGAACAAAATGTCGTACTGGAAATTCGATAAAAGAAATCGTGTGATTTCACTATTATTTAATGACACAAATTATTTAATTTATGTAGAAGGTTATATTTTTACTCCGTGTCCCTATATCGAGCTCGGCCAGTCGACATAATTTATACGTCAAAAAAACGATATTCGCTGTACAAAACAAATGATTGCATAGTCCTATATATGTATATATATATTTAATAACCACCTTAACTAAAAGTGAACTTAAAATTTCAGGCATTTACAAAATGTATACAAACGACAAAAAATGTATGTACCTAGCGACACATTCAAATATTCAATACAAAAAACCGAATAAAACGTAAGACGATTTTTGTCAGTTATTAATAAAACGTGTACCTATAATGGGATAAAAAAAAAAATTCTCACAACATAAAACCAAAACTCTTTTAATTTGTTTCAACAGACGTTAATTGTAAGTTGTTATCGATGTCTCATTAATTGCGTTCACTGAGCGTATCAATCCTGTGAGATATTCGTTATAGAATGTTACCATATTTGTCTAACGGTCATCTTCGAAGTTTTCTCGACTTAATGGTTCATATGCAGGACTGTTGGGAGGGTGGTAAGAAAGGGGGAATTCACCCCCAAGCACGTCATTTTTGAGAGCGCCCGGGACACCTCAATTTTTTTTGTGAACTAGAGAAACAATAAAAAATAAGAATTTCATGAACTCGGCAGAAAAAATTAACTCCAAACAGGTGCCTGACAAAGGCGGTCAAAAATAGCGAGCCCCCGAGGTATTACCCCAGCCCTCCAACCACACCCACGGCCCCGGGGTTCGCTCTTCACTGCCATGTTGTCAAAATATGTCATTTGATATTCCGGCTGCGAGTTTCAATCTTTTCGCACATTTAATACGACTCTGGCAATCGATTTGAACCTTCGGCAGGACCAACTAGAGTCATCGAATGATATGAATTTTCCAATTTCATTGCCATCGACGGGACACGTGTTCTAATACCACCGACATACTATTCGTTTCATCTATTTCCTGTTGTCTTCTTCTGCTTCTGATTATTATTTTTTTTTTCCGATACGTTTTATTGGTTTCCGTGTTTTTTACTCGTAACAGTGTGTCTTTCACACGCATTTCAGTCCCGACGGTTTCCAATGCTTTTCATGAAACGCTTTTGGCAATATTTTTTTGGAAATAAATGTATAAAGTTGACTTACCAATGGCTTAAAAAATATGATATTATATTATAATAATATAACACTCTAAAAAAAAAAAAGGAATGATATATAACCAAACCATGAGTTATGAATTCTAACGTAACACTTGTCTTAACGATTTAAATTATCACAATAACCACATGAAAATTAAAACCTTTATCGATTTTTTGTGTGTTGAGTTAGACTATTTTTTTTTTTTGATAATTTTGCGACATGGCGTAGTTAATACGGCCATACAGGGCATGCTCGGTACATAAAGTATACGCAGTGCCGGTATAAGAAACAATCACCTACTTTCGGTAAGTTCTGTAGTTTTCGATTTGTTTTTCTCTTTGTAATGTGATAATGGCTTCAATAATCATCATCAATTAACGAGTTCAAATACAGCGGAATATCCTATACTTAGTGGACCCTACGAAGAACTAACGAGAATTTTGGTGCTTCAAACGGTAAGTGCAGTGTAAACATTGAAAATAACGAGGAAATCGTTATTTAATACATCGCGTCATTCATTATTTATTTATAAACACACTTAAGTATCCAAAAGAAGTTATTTAAATGTTTAAGCTATACACTTTGTGTAACTATATACAGATGTTATTATCAGTGTTATTGAAAATGTAAATCGAATGATAGGTACATTGACTTAATGAGCAAATAATTTAAATAAATTAAACTTGAATTATTTGAAATACACTGGTCCGTGCACTTCTTAGTATATAACTAATATTTTAACAGGTCTTGTAAGTACTAACTTTTTTACTCTACTATTCTTGGACTTCAGCAAAATAAAATGTGTATTCACCATAATTGTACAGTTGGTATAGGTACTACAATGCTATATTTTTTATTTATTTTTTATTAAAGGTACAACATCAACTACTAGGTTATTAACTTGCAATACAATAAATATTAGCTACACCCATATATATATATATATATATAAATTATATATGCATATATTGTAAAATGCACAAAACAGATACAATTATAAATAATATTCAAAAATATAAAATAAATATATTCTATTAAAATAATATGTATTAAATTAATATTCAATAAGTTAGTTTTTCTGTAATCCGCGAAAGGTAAGTATATTTGATAATACATATATAGAATTGTACGCTTATAAGTTATAAGTTATAAGTATAATATCTAACGTAACCTTTATTGAGGTTTGCAATATTAATAGAAAACATTTTGTTTTAACCAAAGCAAAGTGATTTAATTTTTACAAAAAATCAGTAATAATAATAATTATAATAAAAAAAAAAGGAATAAATAAATCTTTTAAACAAATCTAGAATCGAAGCAATTTCAAAGGACAAACTAGGATTTTTTAAATTAAAATTTATAATCATAAATTACTTTATACTTGTTAATTATTACGACAAGTAAAAGAATAAATTTTACTAATAATG